CGAAAGGGAAGTATCTTGATTTGGACACAGGCATTATCGTTGCTAACGAAAAGCTAATGCCTCTGCTTTTGAAAGCAGTTCGTGAGTCCATAGCTGAGCAAGAGAAAGCTTCAGCTCTCTGATTCTTTCTTCTCTCCTTCTTTGTAACTGTTGTTGTTTCAGTTCCTTTCAACCAAAACCGAAACATGCATCTGTTGTTGCACAAGTGAGAATTTCTTGAGTTTCGAAAATCAAATAAAAAAAGTGAAATCTTTGTTTTGGGCCCAAGTATAATGGGCTGTAGAGTTGGACCATTAACGGATCTGAAAAGGCCTCTTAAGGTTTACATGCACCGACGTGTCTAGAGCGCGTAGATTACTTTATCCTTAATACGGATGTAAGCGCGTTAGGTAGAATCTCTTCATATATAATAAGATATTAAATCTAATATATATATAGTACTTTTTTTTTGTTTTGGACATATAACAAAAATTATTGTGTAACTTTTTTAATCCACAGGGAAAAGTTGAAAAATTCGTGATTTTATTCCCAATAATAAATAGGGAAAATTAATGTGACTTGAGATCGTTGGTCTAGTCAAACTTTAGAAATAAATTTCGTTTTAATACTCTTTTAATGTGAATGATACTATACTATCTGGTTTTGTTTTTAATCTATGTTACCAAGATATTTTATGTTAATGATGGATGATAAGTTGATACTCAGCGAGAGATTGACAAGACCGGGCCACAAAGTTCACACGTCATTTACAATATCTTTAAAAGCAATTTGCAATATAATTAATTTAATTATCATACCTCTAATTATTTATTTAGCAAGCTAGTATAAAAGAAGAGGAAAAAAAGAAGAAGAAGCATAACCTCTTTGGAATAAAAGCATATCAGAAAATGCTAAACAAATATAACGAACCAAAAATAATTAATTAGAAAGTAAGAATCATATACTATTTCTTGCCAAACATAAAATTAATCAGGATTGTTATCTCCACCTACAAAAAGAAGCAAACTTACCGAAATTACATATATTACTAAATAATATAGAAAATTCTCTATTTATATAAATTGAAATATCTCTCTCTAAGGAAAATTATCTTGCTATTGGACCAATTCAGTCTTGGATTGTTATATATTTATGTTTTCCTCACTTGGATTATATAACCAGCCCCGGCTCAGATGGGTAGGGCGGAAGTGCGACGGCCCGGAGCTTTTTTTTTATAAAAAAATTTTACATATAAAAAGGCCCAAATATTTTTTAAAATATTATTAATATTAGAATTATATTTTAAGAGGCCTAATTATTTATAAGAAAATGTATAAAAAGGCCCAAAATTTTTAAAATAACAATTTTTACTATAAAAACTCCGCAAAATTTTTAAAAATTAAGTAAATTTTCTTTTTGTATATAATAATAGGCCAAAAAAATTTTTTTTGCCCTAAGGCTCTCAAATATATTGAGCCGGGGCTGTATATAACCTTTACAAGATAAAAGGCAATTTGCAATATGCCATATGAAATCTGCAGAGTATTATAATAAAATAATAAAACTTTCAAAATGTACTACTAAACTATAGGAAAAAAAATATAAAATTTTTGTTGGAACAAATTAAAGAATGGAATGAGACAACGTGAGAGAAACTTTCCTTGTCGCAACGGTAGGGGACTCTATACTATGGCTACTTTTCCACAACGGTAGAGATTGGGAAAATGATATTTTAAAAATACCAAAATTCAATAAACAATTATTATTTTATTATTACGTATTAAGAAAACAAAAACAAAAACAAATATATAATAAAAAAATTGGGAAGGAGTTGCTTCAGAGTCGCGAGAGGTTTTTCATTCATATCATAAAAATCGATTCTTGAGAGATTTTCTTCTTCATCTTCGTCTTCTTCGTTTCTTCTTCAGCTTCGTACTTCTTTCCTTTTCAATGTCTTACGATGAGATGCTTTCTGCTGCCAAGAAAGCTGTCTCTCTCGCTGCTCGTCTCAGCAACGTACGATCACTCACTCTTTTGGGATCACATGACATGAATATTCTGCGATTTCTCGATTTAGATTAAACCAAAAAAATTCTTCTTTTTTTTTCTTTGCTCGTTGACATTGCGATACGTGTTCCGAGAGAGTTAGATGTTTTCTTTGAACTCTTTCTGTGAGTTGAATGTGTGACTTTTATTTTCTTGTTTATTGGAAATTGTCAACTGAGACAAATGAAATCTGGAATTTGATTTGATGAAATATGAAATGGGGATCTAGACTTGTTGTATCTTCGTTTTTAAGAATTGGGTTTTAACAATTCTTGAGATTTGTGTATATATGATTCCATCTGTTGCTTTATGTTTAGAGACTTGAGAGTCAGATTTAACAAGTCAAAAATTGATTTGCTTTTTCCAGCAAGTGAGGAAATCTCTGTTGGTATCTGACGTTTGGAACAAATCAGATGATAGTCCTGTTACTGTTGCTGATTATGGTGTGTATCCCTCTTTTTTTGGCTTTAAATGTTTCATTTGGGTTTTAAATTGCTCACTCAGAATAATGATTATCTTTCTTTGTTATACTCTTTAGATTTCATCTATTTCTTGGCTCATTAATGATACAAAGTCATGTTCTTTTAGGTTCGCAGGCGGTCGTTAGCCTTGTACTCGAAAGGGAACTCCTGAATGAACCTGTGTCATTAGTCGCTGAAGAGGTGCCAAACAATGCAAAAAAACATTGCAGGTTTTTCTTGAATGGACTAAGATGGATTTTGTTTATGACTTCTGTTTCTGTAATTTATGTGTAGGATTCTGGTGAGCTAAGGAAGATTGCTGCTGAGACTGTTTTGGCACGTATTACAGAGCTTGTGAAAGATACTCTTGCTAGTGATGAATCATATGCTGCTTCTCCTTTGTCTTCCGATGATGTGCTCAACGCTATAGACCGTGGTAAATCAGAAGGAGGTCCTATGGGTCGCCATTGGATCTTGGATCCTATAGGTGGCACTAGAGGGTGAGTCCTTTGTTATTTCCCTATGCACAAACTTAGAGTTAGTTACTTGTATTTGGATTTGTTTTGCAACTTCATCTTGTTTCATTGTTCAACGCCTGTGTCAGAGACTAATCTATCTCAGTAGTATCTGCTTTCTTGTTTCTATTATTTGCATTATTGAACTGTTGTCATAGAGTATCGGAACTTAAGTTTAACTATAACCTGCGAATTTCCAATTTGTAGATTTATCAGAGGAGAACAATATGCAATAGGATTAGCATTGTTGGTGGATGGCAAAGTAGTACTAGGTGTAATGGCTTGTCCTAAGCTTCCATTGGCATCAACTGCTGCTGGTAACACACTCAAGTCTTTACCTGAAAAAGTTGGTTGCCTTTTCTATGGTTCGGTTGGCAATGGGACTTATGTCCAGTCTCTCAGTGTTGACTCTCCTCCTGTGAAGGTAAACTACTCGGAGCTGCTCTGCTTCGATGCATTTCTATGAAATCTTTTCAAGATGTTTTACATCAAAATATATATATATTTCTAAAGAAATGATCAAATGTGCTATTAGGTGGAGGTAAGCAGCATAGATGATCCCGCGAAAGCGAGTTTCTTCGAGTCATACCACACACCTGTCCCCATCCATAACACCATTGCTACGGTAAACATCTTCCTTACATTCTCTATATATATATATATATATATCTTCTTGTTTGGTCTGAGTTTGACTCTGTTCCGTGAAATTCACATAACAGAAACTGGGGATAAAAGAATCGCCAATCAAGATCAACAGTCAGACAAAGTATGCAGCTTTATCTAGAGGAGATGGAGAGGTGTACTTGAGGTTTACTCGCAAAGCAAGACCCGAATCAATATGGAATCACGCTGCTGGCTCAATCATCGTTTCAGGTAAACCCATTAAGCTCTTATCTACATAGATTTTGGTCCAGTGGTCATGAATAATGATCACACAACGAATCCTTATGTGAAATTGTATCTTTCAGAAGCGGGAGGGAAAGTGACTGATGCAGCAGGGAATCCGTTGGACTTTTCGAAAGGGAAGTATCTTGATTACAAGAGAGGAATTGTGGTTACGACGCAGAAACTGTTGCCAAGGCTTTTGATAGCAGTAAGAGAATCAATTAAAGAAGAAGAAGAGGAAGAAGAAAAAGCAGCTTCTCTGCAACTTCACTAACACGCAACTGTAATATACTTATTATTGTTGTCTTTGGGTATTCTCTGTTGTCTGTGTTTTTCACACAGTCTATTTATTGAAAACCAGAAACAAAAAAAAAAAATACTCACCTTTGATATATATATAAGAAAACACTAATTCTCTTTTAAATATAGTTTTGATGTTACGAAGCTCGTTAAAATCTATTTTAAATTGTTTATTATCTATAATCGGAAATACGTTAATCAATTTTGAAAGTTTTTGGAATGATTAGTAAAACTAAATTAAAAACACGTACGTAGCTAGTGATTTGTTATGGGGCTAATTAAACTCGACAACAGACAAAAGACAAGTGCCTTTTTCTGGCACATATGAAAAGGACAAATGAGAAAGGAAAAGAAAATTTGAAAATTATGAAAAAGATTACACTCCAGTCGAATCTTCTGCGAAACTTCTTGTAAAATATAAAATCATACTTATAAAGGAAGATTAGTGTTTTGAGTTTTGACAAAAAAAAAATAAACAAAGAAAGATTAGTGTATTGATTAGGTGAAATATACCCAATTTGTTAAGTGTGGTTAACGCTTTATGATCACTCTCGTCTAGTCGTCTTCTTCCGAATATAATTAAATTATGACAACTGATACAAAAATCCGTGAAATATTCTACATAATAATAATAATACATATTCTTCTTAGGTCTACATATTCTATCAATTCTGTTCTTTCTTTAACGTCAACTTGTTCTGTCATTACGTGAAAGATGGTTTGCACCAACTCCGTCTCACACGATAAACTCGGTTATACAATATCAACCATGTTGACTACGTCCTGACTTGGACTACGACTATTATGAAGCAAATAATTATAAACGTATTATGAAATGATGTCTATAAATTGTTTCAATATATAAAACCATATTAGAGAGAATAAGCTTTTACATGATATATTCTTTTGAAGCTTTTCAATGTCTTATGAGAAGGAGCTAGCCGCTGCAAAGAAAGCTGTCTCTCTAGCTGCTCGTCTCAGCCAGGTAGGTAACCACTATTTTCGAGCTAGAATGAGCATAGAGCTTTATATGAATCGCTGAAACTAAAGCAAACCTTATCACGTAATGAATCAGGAAGTTCAGAAGACTCTGTCGCAATCCCAAGTATGGAAAAAATCCGATACAAGTCCAGTTACTGCAGCTGATTACGGTTTGTACCTCCTCGTTTGCATACCCACGAATTCGAATTCAAGTTTCCCTTTTTTTTTGCTAAATTCTTGGTTTCTCTCTAAATCAATCAAGAAAATGTCTTTTACCTCTCCCATTAATGTATGGTTTCTTCAGGCTCACAAGCTGTTGTTAGTCTTGTATTGGAGAGGGAGCTCCAACCTGATAAACTGTCATTAGTAGCCGAAGAGGTGCAATAACACTTGAAAACCTATTAATCAGAGGTTTTATAGCATAAATGTTACTCGGGTTTTATAATGGGAAATCTTACAGGAAACTGGAGATCTGCGGAAGAAGGGAAGTGAGTTGTTTCTACAAGGTATTACAACACTTGTGAAAGATACTCTAGCTTCTGAGGAATTGTACACCGGCTCTCCTCTATCCACAGATGATGTGTTAAATGCTATAGACTGCGGTAAATCAGAAGGCGGTAGCAGCGGTTCCCACTGGGTTCTTGACCCTATAGATGGAACCAGAGGGTAACAAATCTCTCTAACTCTATGCTTTTTCTATGCTTAATCTTTTCAGGCACTTAAAAACCTGGTTGCTAAACTTCTCTGCTTGTTTAGATTTGTAAGAGGAGAGCAATATGCTGTGGGACTAGCGTTGCTTGTGGAAGGCAAAGTGGTGCTTGGTGTCATGGCTTGCCCGAATCTTTCTTTGGCTTCAGCGATTTGCGTGACGGATAAGTCTTCCCAGGAAGGTGTTGGCTGTCTTTTCTTTGCTACAACGGGTTCAGGAACTTATGTGCAATCACTCAAAGGCAATTCTCTACCACAGAAGGTATCATTCACCTGTCCAAAGCTAAACCATGTGATAAATCTGCAATTGTTTGAAAGTGTTAAAGAAAGTAAAGTTGTTCTGACAGGTGCGAGTGAGTAGCAATGAGAATCTTGACGAAGCGAAGTTCTTAGAATCATACCATAAACCAATTCCCATCCATGGTACCATTGCCAAGGTAACATCTTGTTTTCTTTGTATTACAGTGTGCCCTTAAGTAGGCCATAACCAAGTGGGATTCTTTCCACTAAAACTATCTGTTTACGGTTAGAGCAGAAACTCGGGATTAAAGCATTACCTGTAAGGCTCGATAGCCAAGCTAAGTATGCGGCTTTGTCGCGGGGAGACGCAGAGATATACTTGCGTTTCACTCTCAATGGACACCGTGAGTGTATTTGGGACCATGCTGCAGGTTCAATCATCACTACAGGTACAGTACAAAAAAAAACCTTTTTAACACTGAGATCTGTTGGCTCTAATGCACATTACAATTTACCATGTTGCTTGCTAGTTGCCAAACACATGAGGGACTAGATTTAATACACACTTATGTCATTTTTAATGTATAAAATACAAAGGACTATAAATAAAACGAAGAGAACAAATAACCTTGTGCAGAAGCTGGAGGCGTAGTGTGCGATGCTACAGGGAAATCTCTGGACTTCTCGAAAGGAAAGTATCTTGCTCACAAAACGGGGATCATAGTTACCACCAAGAAACTCAAGCCATGGATTTTGAAGGCAGTCAGAGAATCCATTGAAGAAGAGAATCTTTATTTCTGAGGCACAACAGAATCTGTACAATACAGTATTTGTATTTGTCCGAACTAGTAACTGGTGTATATTCTTAGTTCATATATTGTATACATCAGATATGAAAGATATTTGTGCTTAGATAATGAATAATGATACTAAGGAGGATTCGATTTTGCTTCCGTTTTCAACTTTCAAAAACTTCTAATATGTTTCCACAAAGAATCTATGTTAACCTTACAGATTCTTTTCAGAAAATCGAATTACCAAAAGAGGAGTAAAAAAGGACCTGGGAAATTATCATGAGCATAAAGCATAACTCCCCAGGCGATTCAGTTTGTTATCAAAAGCTGATTATGGGTTTAAAGTGTCGGCTATGATTATGTTCTGTTCCAATCAGCCATCATCATCTTCTGAATCCTGCAGAAGGGCACCCCGTTTACGGGTTCTGCGAAAACCATAGCTAAGTTTTCAGACCAAATTGATATGGATGTTTTATATGAGGTTTAGAGAGGAGATGATATGTATATACCTCCGGTGAGCAGGTACACGTTTAACAGGTTTTGTTGTGTAACCTTCTCGGGCAGATTGCTTGGCTGAAACCAACAAAAAAATATACGAGGGAGAAAACGGTGATGTTGAAGATTATTCTTTCCATATGAGATTTTCAGGGCAAGGATAATTTACTAAATGTGAGTGAACAGCGAACAGGACTAACCTGGAGAGTCCTGCCGGTTATCTGTTGATGGAGCCATAACATCTAGCTTTCCAGAGTATCGTTCCACTTGGTTATGGGTAGCATCCCTCTTATCCTGGTCACAATACAAACGAGATTTTCAACCAGAGTAAGAACAGACTATTGCAGCAGTGTTAAGAACTGTTGATTAGAAAGACACCATTAGAACTTCCAGAACCAAATATACCTTTTCATCAGTTGCTGCAGCTGAAGAACTCACTTCTCCTAATGGGAACAATAAAAATAAAAGAGCAAAACATTAAGATGTAAATCGAACGCTTCAGAAACCTTATCTCGATTCTAATTTTCATTTTCAGTCAACACTATGTTTCTAAATAAAACCAGACTGAGAAGCCGAGATCCCATATTATAGTACATGTATGGCACATTCAAAAGTGTAAATAAGCGTTGATCCTTGGGATCATATATACTACTATGAAGAGTGTCTGGTCTTTATTTGCAAGAACAGCTGAAATTAAAAAAAAAAAAAAAATGTACCTTGTAGGTGCTGCTTGCTCTTGAATGCTCTGAACAATTCAAGAGACAGATTTGCCATTGCTTCACTAGCAGATGAGTCCACCATCTTTGTCAAAGGAACTATTACGCGAGGCATTCCTTTGGCCTTCTGAGAAACTAATCGCGCAGTTTTGACACCTAAAACATTATGTGATGAAACACACAACAGTGCACAGAAACAATTAAACATAAGCTCAAGGAGGCTATCAAATCATAGTCAACACAACAATTAAGAGCATTCGAAAAGTTAGCATCTTCATTTTGATTTACGAAACATAGTGTGAAGAAAGTATACCATTTGAAACTGAATTATCTCCCAAGAGAAGCTTCACATTGTCGGATTTCATGGAAGCAACAGTATAATCGAGGAACTCTGACCACGAACCACCAATCCCCACAGTATCCCTCTGTTTCAAATTAAAATCTACGTGAGTAAACCCAATAACAAACCATTGAGATTCAGCTAAACAATGGTTTATAGAAGAATTCAAAACTGAGACGAAAGGTTGATTGAGCTAAAAAAGGAGAAGGAAGAGTAAACGAACCATATCGTCTAGCTGCGAGACGGAGAGGATCGTCGCCCAGACGCCGGAGACGAAGTCAGTGACATGGACTGTTAAGTTATACGAATCGGAAGCGTAGACGTGGAAGAGACATCGCCGGAGAAGACCCGAACCCGGATCCGAATGTTCGGGTACGACTTCTCCAAATATGGGTTCGAATTTCTCGAAACTCGCCATTTCTAGACAAACAATCGCACGATTCGCGAGTTTTTGACATATACAGTAAATCTTCTTCTCTCGTAAACCGGTCTTTAAAGCCAATTCCAATTATTATTTGTTAACCGTACCGATATCGTACCGGGTTTCGGTTAGGAAGAAGATTGTTTCAGTGTTCTCATGTATAAAAACCAGATTGTTGTAATCATTACCCTGAATCATATACTGAAAAGTCATCTAAACACCTAATAGTAAGAACTGGAACTTTGTTATTCTCCCAGAAAGAATGTGAAAAAAAACAAAACCTTTCTATAACAAAGAATCAACATTGAGCCAGCTTTGTGTGTGTGTGTGATGATGTTGAATACTTCAAATCTGGGCAATGAAAAGTTCATTCCAAGTATCTGGGATCCCGGGTAAGCACCAATGCAAGCAATCGTTGATCGTTGGAGTTGAAGTCACGTTACTCGCCTTCTTTGGTTTTCGGGGTTTGAGTTTAGACCCTGAGATATGAGCTTCATCTCTTAGCTCAGAGAGTGCAGTTATGTCAAGAATCTTGATCCTTGTCCCGTTCACAGCACTCTCGACTGTTGTATCGATCGATCCATCATCGCCTGTGATTTCGCTTCCTCTAGACAAAGGGACCGTGTTGTTACAGTTTCCACCGGTATTCCAATCTCCGTTTTTAAAATGCCTCGGAGAAATTGTCCTGAAGAAAACTTTCAGCCGCGGATGCAATGGAAGCTGTGCATCGAGCCACTTCACGACGCTGTGTATTGTGAAATCCTTTGCGTTTCTGATATCTTTGAGATATTCGCCTTCGACCTGAGTTCCATTTACATGCATCACCCAATGATTTCCTTCGATCTTACCTCTGTTCCAATGGTGACCGGTGTTTAGAACCAATACATCGAAACGGTGAAGGTAGTTTCTCATGAATGCTGGTGGACGGTCCAGATGCATTGCAGTAAGCCTAGGTGGATCTGTGTTGTTCATTGGTACCAAATCTGATAAGCTAGCCGACCAATAATACAAGATCGTTGTGTTTGTGGCCAGGAACCGATAAGCCCAACCATCAGGACGGAGAGCTCCTTTGGCTTTCACCAGACCATACTCCCATCCCACGTTTTGAACATCTGGGCTATCTTCACCACCACTGGCCATACACATCAGGGATTGAAACTGTTGCCGTCCCAATGAGTCTCCTATAAATGCTATCGTCTTGTTCTGCATTCTAAAAAACAAAAGCAAAGTTGCAGTAAGCAAATATGAGATATTTTAAGAAACTTGCTCTGCTACCACATATTCTCACAAAATGCAATCTACCTACAGCACATTACAGAAAAGAAGCATGCATAAGAATGTGTCATTGGAGAAAATTTTCCATACCTTGTCAAGAAAGTGAATCTGTCAAACTGTGGCATGTTGCAACCTTCTGGCTGCCACCGGTAACCCTCAAATGAGAAATCGGGTCTGCCCATTACTCTACATGACCACATGGTTGATAACCATTGTTTACATTCAAAACCAGAATACAATGGTCTCTTCCGGTCTTCAACCCATTTTCCCTTTGCAAAGTTACAAACTGAATAATAGGAAACCAAAATGTATCACAAAACCAAACTATACTTTCTTGAGATAACGAGAGTTCAAAAAATTTGGATCATTATAACCAAAAAACTGAATACTAAAAGCTGTGAAGAGCATAGAAATACCTGAAGAAGAAGAAGATGAAAACTGACGTTTTACTTCAAAGAGAGAAGCACGAAGCGGGTTTTCCTCGGAAACCAGGAGTATAATCACCAAAAGAATGAGGATAATCAAGGCAAGTGATACACTCCCTCTGAGTATGTGACTTTTTCCACCAAACATCTTAGAGATAACATCAACTCTCTCAACAAAGAAAGCTTATTGCTTATGTTGTTGAAGTTCAAGATCCTTGAAAAGACCAGTCACAAAATCTTAGTCAGTCATTGAATCATTCAAAAGAAGGAAACAAAAAGGTTTCTTCTTTATTTTAACAATCAAAATCCCAAATTCTAGCAATTGAACTTTGTAAAGTTGATATATATGCTTTAATGATGGTTTCTTCTTCAATCCGAATTCATCCAAATCAGAAAACATAACCAAATCAGGAAATTTGATTAAACCCATGGAAAAAAAAAAAAAAACTATACTCTTAAACCCAAAATCAATATCTACGAATAAGGTTCTCCAAAAAATCGAGCTCGAAGATGATAGAAATCATTTACCGGAGACGATTGATGATGATGGATTGGATCTTCAACGAGCAAGAATAGTGAAGTGTAGATCTGGAGAGCAAGCAATTAGGAATCCACCTCTGAATTTGGATCTCTCACATGTTCGTTGGTCAATAAACAATCTCCATTGTACGAGTGACTCATCAATTTCAACGTTATGTGTTTGTTTCGCCTTCTTGAATTTTCGGCGCAATAAAGTGGTGGTAATAATTTGGGTGATTCATGTTCTTTTTGTTTTTAGCTTTAAATTTGTTCACAGAAAAAAAAAAAAAAAAAAAAGCAAAAGCAAAAGGTAATTAAAAATAACTAGATGCGTTAATTTCTGGATGGTTTAATTAGTTTTAAAAAAAACGTTATATTTCTTCTTCTTTTTCGGAAAATCTCATTAAAAATGATACGATAGGAAAAACAAAATTTACAATAAAACAACCATAATGGGAAGATGGTTCAATACCAACGAAACAAACTGTTTAAATGAAAAGTTAAAAAAAATATTAGTACTATTTGTCATCAAAAAAAAATCAAATTTTATACCATTTATTCATTTATTGTTACACTATAATTTTTATTCACATTATATACTATGATGTACATGTCCCATGTTCAAAATACAATTAAAACATCAACCTACAAAATCTAGTTTTTTTCTTTTGTGATTATTTAGCATTGAACTTGTTCATTATTCTGTCATTCCATATATAATTCGTCTTACATATGAATCATGGGCTAAATTTTGTTTTTGAAATATAGGTGTCATCACCTAAATATAGGTGTAAAATATCAGTTCGATTATTATATTGAAGAGATTAAAACTTGAGCCGTGGGCATCCTTAGAGTATCCACAGTGGAGCAAAGTGTTAGAGGTAATAAAAAAAGAAGAAAATTGTCTCTTTTCTCACACCGTGTAACACACACTCTCCTTCTCTTTCTTTCTTTTTCTCTCTCTTTTCTATCTCTCTTTAAATTATAACAATAATAAAAAGTTTAACAATAATAAAAAGTTTACACCCACTTTCACCCTTTCTCCGCTGCCCAAAGTCTTATATTGCACTACGTTGACATGTTGGAAACTTCTCGGGTTGTGGACTTTGCACCGACAGGCGACACTGCGACAATCATCGTTCACTTTCTTAATAATAACCTCATTTAAGATCCGGCAACACTCGTATTAAAAAGTATTTTAACCTAAACAAACATGAGTATTAAATTCTTCTCAATTATAGACTTGTTGTGTTTTGTGTCTAACATGCATTACTTTGTAATTATTAACTTGTTTGTATATGCATATATCATAAAGTTAGATGTGTATTTAGTAGTTGACATATATGAAAACGATGTGTTTTTTTTTAGTATTACTATCTTCTCCAATATGAGTAAAATAGAGGAACATAACCTCTCGCTCTCGGGCAATATATAAAACAAGCAAAGACGTGGACATTGGGTCTGTGTGATTTAAGAAAACTATAGGGTCTCGATTGTAACTTATTTTCACCTATCGTTTGTTTTTAATTTAATTTGGGCCATTATGTTAGTCTACAAAAGAGGTGACAAAATATTAAATCTATGAAAAATCAATTATAAAATATAATTTACGGAAGAGTAGTTATCAAACAAAAAAGATGAAAAGAAAGAGTAAAGTTTAAAAAGTGTGGAATTGCTTTTTAGCTAAAATCATGCCGTAGTAACCACTTCTCAACAACTTGATTTAACATATTCATATCATGATGAAATATAATTCCAATTAGTACATGAATAAATAAAATGCTAAGGTCTTAAGCAATTGACTAAACTAGTCTTGAGGCTAACTAAAATAATCTAAAAATGATTTAATAAGATTTTCGACCACTACTAAATTCACGGCTACTCCGTACTTCTCTCCCCTTATTGATGAAGCATCTAAAATAAGTATTTTTTCCCAAAATATTAAATTTATTAATAATTTTTTGTTCACTAATAAAGATTTTTTTGTTGTGTGTGTAAATCAAAATCGTAAGATCAAATCAATCTCTCTTGCACTTATATATATACACCTTTCTCTTTCCCCATCTTCAACATATATCCCACGCCACTGGAATTTTCTCGAGAAAGTGACGGAAAATGGCTCCGTAGCTGGGAAATTGAAATTCGGATTCTCCCTTCTTACGCACTCTCATTGATTCTCGCCTGTATCAGGTCCGTCTTGTGCACATTCCTCTCTATTTGTTCCTTGTGTTTTTATCTTATGTTACTTAGTGATGATCTCGATGATGTAGAAAAATGGTGGTTCTACCGAGATCTGTTACGGATCTGCTGTTTTTTTCTAAGTTATTGTGTTGATAGATTTCTTGTTTTTGTTCTTGAGGTTTTTGTTGAATGGTGATTTTGCGGCGTTGTTTGTTCCTTCGATGATTATCTGAATCTTGAAATTCTATGATTTCGTCTGCTTGATCCTTTGTGTTTGCTTTAGGATGTGAAAATCCATGTTGCGGGAGTAACTTTTAGTAGTGAGATTTTGAAATTTTATGTTGCTCGTCGGTATCTGGGTTAAACTGTAATCGCAAGGGTTTCAGCAGATCTGCTGACATTACCCTTTTGTTTCGATCTGTATTACATGCCAATTTGATCTTGTTTGTTAGAGAAAATCGAGCTGATATATGCATGCATCTTCAAGAGATTTGATAGTGTCTCTGGATATGTGAGATATAGATTCTATTCCTCACCTAACATCTGTTTCCTCTATCCGTGTAGGCGTACACGCGTTGTTATCATCTGTTGCTCAAATCTGAACCATGGCGCAACCAAGGTACACTAGGATAGATAACAGGAGGCCCTCATCAAATTATTGCTCTACAGTGACAGTAGTTGT